AATGATTTTTTAGGATTTTTTTCCACTATAATTTTTTTTCTCTTCTCTGTTCTATTTTTTATTGAAAAATTGTCTTTTTTAACTTTGTTAACAAAAAACTTTAAAAACTATAAGTTTAAGAAAGTCACTTTACAAAACAATATTATTGCAATATTTTTTATTTTCTCTATTTTCTCCTTCGTCACTTTTTATTTCTCTCTCATTTCTTGCGTTTTTTTGCAGTTTTCTTCTTTCTCTGTTTATCTGTTCTCTTTTACTTATTTAAACATTTTTTAATGCTTAAAATACGGTTTTTTAAACGTAAAATTACGTGCTGAACACGATGTAACAATTAAAAGTTAAAATACTCTACGATGAGTAATATTGAGTAATAAAATTAAGAATAAGGCTAGAAGCATCCGATTTTGACCAAAAAATCAAATAAAGACAACAAATTACCTTGACGTAGGTCGTAGTATGTTAACAAATTTTTACTTTTTTTTAATTTGTAAATTGCGAAAAAACTATACCTCAATGGTATAATATTTTGAGGTAAACCTATGTAAAATGTTCGGGGAAATCGATTGGCGTCAAGAAAACTGCAAAATTCCTAATAGTTTTGAAGTTATAAGCGGATTTATATTTGTGATATATTTGACTTTATCAGAAGTTTTCTCGATAACTATTCATTTACGTAAAATACTCAGTTTTTCTCTAATTTTTCAATTTTTTTGCGTTGTTTTGGCAAAATCATCAATATTTAAAGAAAGTAATGCATTTCAGACCTAATTTTTCAAGTTTTGAGTATTTTTGTGAGTTGTTGGTAACAAATGCTCCGAATTTATAGAAAATAAGGCATTTTTAAGTAATTTTATAATTTTTTACTCTGTCTTAACATTTTTTTTCTAGTTTTATGAATAAGTTTTTCACTAAATATATGGAAAATACGCATTTTTGCTCTAATTTTGCAATTTCCTACTTTGTTTTGTTAAAAAAAAAACGCTTATATTTAAGCAAATAGATAAAAATAACAGGATTTGGTCAATTTCTTTCATTGTTTTGACAAAATCTTTCAAATTTTGTGTGTTTCTTGGAGAAAAACAATCAAAATCAGTAAAAATAACGCATTTTTTTACCTATTTTTGTCTTACTTTAGGAAAGAAAAGAAATAAACCTATTTAGTCATAATTCAACAAAATTTTCTATTTTATTTTTGGTAAAATAATTTGTTGAGAAAGTTTGTCAGTGAGAAACACTTCTAATTTTGCAATTTTCTGTTTGATTTT